CTATTCTCTGGAAAGATTTTCTGCTATAATCAGGTTTGTAGGTAGTATAAATAATGAAACCATAAAAATTCCAAATCCTGCAATCCGGATTACGTTCAAAATGGTAAAAAGCAATAAGTTTTTTTACTGCTTTATTATTTTGTTCGTTTTCCTTTTTTTTCCCTGTATTAATTTTATTCAGGTGAGACGAATTCGAACAATATAAATAGTTTCGAAGATTAAAAAAATGCACTCATTTGCGTCAATTGTACGATATAGTCTTCGATACTTTTTCTATAATGTGAAAGAAAAAAAATTTACTTGTTATTTCTCAGGTGGTGACTCACTGACGTCAACCTGAGAAGAAGGATACGATCCTTTCGTAAATAATTCGTCATTGTATGAAGATTTAAAATTCGTAAATCGAGTCGTAAAATCTGATCCATTATTCTCCAGATCGCCTTAATTCATGGCCATCCTTCGACTTTCGTTTATCCTGCGAATTTTTGCGTGTAAAAAAAAATACTCGAAAATTCCTGTCTCAATAGAAAAATATTTTTGTCGTTTTTTCAGCATCTAGATACCATTCTGCAAGTGGTGGCGAGGGTACCTCTATTCGGTTTTCTTTTTTTTTTTTTTTTTAGTCAGTCACGTTTCACATGTCATTGAACTGTAGCTCACCGAATGACATCATGAGTGTTGGAAAAAAATTATGAAATTTTCAGCTAATCAGTGGCGGGCTATCGAATTACCGTCGATATTTTTGTTCATTCTACAGTTTTTTTCAGCAATTAGAATAAAATGCTGATTAAATATGAATGACAATAGTAGCATGACGTAATCGTGTGCAAGTCGGGATACGTGATCTACGAATAATTCTGAAGAACAAAACAATCTAGTGTAGACTGAATTATGGAAAAGAAAAAAAATTAATGATGCGAACGTAAATGGGTCGATAATTTTGCTGGCAAAATTGAAATTTTTGAAACAGGAAGTGATGGCCACCATGGCTCAGCAATGTGACGTAAATCTATAGCAAATGCTAATAATATCGATTTTTTCATCGGAAATTGAGATTTTTTTTCAACAGCTATTGCGGAAAGGGTGTAAGTCCAACTTTTGCGTATTTTACGTATCATTATTAGCACAAAAATCTGCATCTGGAAGTGACAGAAATTCTATTTGAGATCTAATATGAAGGTAGGATTCGCCACTCAACCTGAAAGTTTGCCACTTGGTGGCAGAAATAGTAAACGTAAATATTCACAGCGAAAGATATCAAGTGTTGATGCAAGCTTATGGGATAAAGCAGAATTTGAACAAAAATTAGAGTTTTGATCAATATTTATGCGTTATATCGTATTATTTTTATGATTTGTGAGTTGTACTTGCAGATTTTGGCATTTTGCTGAAATAACAACTCAAATTCCGAGGAAATTTCCTTTTACTCATAAACTCTATACAAAACTGAAAGACTTCATACCTTTTGTTTTCGCAAAAGATCCACTTTTCAATGGCGTAGTCACGCTCTCCAATAGTGGGTTGAGCGGCGAATACTCGAACAATTTTTGAGCAAACTGATGAATAACGTTCCTCCCCACTTAGTATTGCTCGTGATGTTAATTTTTTTCAATTAATCGATTTTAAATTTTAATTGAGCCTGAAAAATCGATGTTGGGATAATGATTTGATCGAATTTTTCATGTAGACTTTCCAAAAATTGAAAAATTGAAGAAAAAGAATTAGTGAATAGTGTTGATAGTTTGAAGAATTAATTTTCCAAATTTCATCAATTTTAAATCTTACCATAGTCCTATGGGTGCCAAAAATGTAAAAGGTGGCACGTTCTCCTGAATCTGATCCTGAATTTTGATTAAATTGAAAAATTTGATATGAGAATACAAGTCAAAATTGCTTTTCGAAATTTTCTACGACTCTTGATTTATCATCTCCTCTTCTAGTCTTTACTAGATCCACAAATCACAGCGAAGTAAAATACTGAAATGTGAACAGCCACAGAAAAAGGTCCCTAGTTATCGGTTTTAATTTTTGAGGTATGTATAGCTCTTTCAATCTATTTTTCTCAATATTGTGCCTTGATTTGAAACTTTGAAATGCAATATCTCAGCCACCATTTGAGCTAGAGAGTTGAATGAGGGCTCATTTTGAAGTAATATTATGTACTATATCAAGGCGTGCTTAACTCCATATCGACAAGTGGGACCTTTTTTCCGTGGATGGTCACAAATATTGATCAATCGAGCAAAATTGACAATATATTTTATGGGTAAACGCCGTCCTACGTTGCCTTGTATCGCAGAGTCCCTATAAGTGCAGCTCTCGACAAACTACCTTACTCATCACTGGTCAGCTGGTCATATTTAGGTCACCCTGTGACCTAAATTGCAGGTGAGAATTTGATACAGGTGTATTGACGATCGAAAACATCTCACCTGCCAATTAACCAGCTGCACCTGTGACGTCATTGGCGCTCCTAGACACACGTGGGAAATACGTCATCGGCATCATACAGACGATGCCCCCGCAGATTTCTTTGAGACGAATTCTTGATCAAGATCGATTTCTAAGGAACTGATTACAATCAAGATCGATTTAAAAATAATTTATTTTCCATCAGGCTCAATTGAGCCCCCTGGAACCAGACTGTTTCAAGTCCAAAAATCAAAAAATTGAGTTAGGGGTGGCATCGGTTAGCTCTTAGGGGGAACTTTCACCTTGCAAAAGGATTGATCTTGATTCTCTCAAGTCCCATTTATCACACTCATTTTGATGATGAGTTATATGTACATATGTATATGCGAACGTAAAACTGATCTCATCAATGACTAAAATAAGACCGAATCAAATCCGAATTCCACAACCGGTACGACCTATTTTTCACTCTTTCGAACTTCGTAATCGGAAATGACAACCTTTTTCCATATCACGAAAGAAAGAATGGAATTCTGATAAGTCTCTATTCGATGGTTTCAGTATTTTAGAATGCATCCGCAAAAAATCGTCCGTTTGAAAATTGAGTGACTCTTTTTTTCTGCCTCTGATTTCGAGTTATAACGCTCTTATCAGTCGTCCGGGTACTTTCCATTCGTTCATATTAGCAAATCGAATGGGGAAAAAATAACTGTCTCCACCATCTCTGATCCAGCGATATTATAATAATTGGGAGAGGTTTGGGGTTTTTTCATTGTTTTTTCGTGATCTTTTAGCGAATGTTTTCGATTTGAATTCGCAGTGCTGTTCAATTATCGCTTAAGTACCTATTTGGCTCGATGCGTACACAGACAGCCAAAAATGGCTGACAATTCTGGCAGTAGAGATTACATTTTACCTGTTCTAAGCCAAATATGCGCGAAGAATTTCGTCGGTAGCACATGCCGATCGACAAAAATGGGTTATTCATGTTTTGAGGAAATTTTTTTTCAAATGCCACAAATTTTTGTGAATTAGAATCGTAATCTGGTCATTAACCACCCGCATACGAGGTATATGAATCTGATTTGAATTGGATCCAGTTTTGGTGTTTGGGTTACCACTGGATTTGAATATGTTGCCAAAATACATAGAAACAGATTCTAAATTCAGTCTCTCATTTGTGCGAGAGTGAAAAGTGAATTTACTTCGGAGTAGATTCTGAAAGTAGATTCAGCTTCTGCTTGAGTCTCCTTCAGTACGTGCCAGTGAAACTCCAATTTACCTCCACCAGATAGTCATACGATGGGGGGAAAAAACGATAGTTCCAATAGTTTCCCAGTATTAAGAACTCCTCATTTATTTGCCTCGAGTCCTCAGTCCAATCCCCTCTTTCACCAACTCAAATCAGCTTCTTCAGAGTTTGCAGCATTACACATCTATCACTGTGTATTTATCAGGAGTCTGCGCACCTGATTAGGTCTGAATAAATGACACTTGCTTCTTTCTTTTCTGTTTTTGTAATATAAAGACATTATGGTAACTACCGCCACGCTTCTGTGGTTTCTGTGGCCACATCTCCAAGAAGGACGTGTTAGTCGAAAGTAGAGGAAAAAAAGACCAAAGCATACTGTATTTGTGGGAAAAGAATGTTGTTACCGGAAATACTCCAGGAGTGGTACTCTTTAGTCGTTCGCAAATCGTTGGGTGGCATTGGCGAAAAGGTGACGAGCAGAGGGGACACTCTGTGGACGAGGCAAATGGACGACGATGGCCGAAGTGGAGCTAAAAATAAAGAAGAAAAGTTGCAGGCTAAATTAGAGACGAGGCGGCTTTGTTTCATAATTTCCTCGCCTCCAGACTGTAGCGGCTAAATCGTTCAACGATTACTCATGTACACGAGCACATGGACGAAGGTGAATTTCCTAAAGTCCAGCCATGCTACCATACTGAATATTGGAACAATGAAGTCGATCATCGACAATTTCATTATTTCTGATGTATATCTGAGAGGCCATATTTAACACTGGAACCAGTAGGTGATAGTCCTCAAAGACCAGGTGGTGTCATGTATGACACCATTTGGGATTTCTCAAACTATTTTTCATGATTTCAAGTTCAGTAAAACCTCGATATAGGGCGATCTAAGGGACAGACTGAAATTTGCACTAAATGCGGGATCGCACTATGCACGGGAAATCTATAGAAACATTTTTTTCGTCGAATTTGTTTTAAAATGCCTAATTTGCAGAAACAGTTTGATTTTTTTGTTTTTCTGGTACTCATTTTAAAAAATAGACGCAGGTAATCAAGTAGAATGAGATGGTAATTCATTGGACACTGATAGACTGACCAAGTGTACTAATACCACAGCATTGTGCCGACTAATTTCGTCTTTTTGTATCTGCTCTTCCAAGAACTTGAAAAAAAAGATAAGAATATTGAGCTTATAGGCACGCAATAGGCGGGATTCAGCCGCACTATAAAACAGACAATTTTGTTTATAATTTTATAGGCAAGGGCAAGGGACTGAGCAAAAATCGCATAATATGCGGGTCGCACTTTAAGCGGGCGCACAATAACGAGTCTTACTGTATTTCTTCACAAAACAACCTTCTATTGTAACAAGGTTAGGCTAGTAAGGTCTATTTGAGAACATTTACACAAATTCCTCCAATAATGGCATGGTGAGGAATCACGTTGAAATAATTTTTGTTCAGTAAATTTCTTTTCTGAAAAGCATCAAAATTGGCGTCATAAATGACACCACCTGGTCTTTTGAAGCATGTCTCAAAATTTTCCCTTGGTGTCGTACATGACACCACCTGGTACTAGTGTTGAAATTTCAGTTTTATCATGAGATATTTCTGAAAATTTGATGACTAAATTTAAAATTGATGGAACTAGCTGGTGCCTCTTCGATGATTCAAATTTCAGCAGATTTTTCGGTTAGGAAGGTTCGATTGATGCTACCTGGCATCTCGTTTTATGTACTTTGATTGAGCGTTTCAACTTATTTGTGGACTAAATGTTGACTCAGTCAGTAATACTGCAGTGTAACTCTTCGATTTAAAATTGCAACCGAAACGATTCCAATCGGTCAACGACCCTAGTTCATTTCAGGT